ACAGATGGTGATCCGGATTGCTCTCTATCCTATCATTTTCGCTCTTGTTGACCAGTATCTAGCCAGACACCAGCAGCCATCTCTGCCAGGTTCAAGACTAGCTCCGCCGTTGCGGGGATCACTGGACATGCATTGCATGGGTGGGTGGCATCACCCTTGTCTCGGGCAGCCCACAGACAGCCCCATGGATCATCCCTTGCTGAATCTTGAGATCCGTCGTTTATTCGGAGACTTCTTCAGCCATGTCTCGACCTCTCCGATAGGAACCCAGCTCGACAGCATTTGACTCGCCCGCAGCATCTCGGATGCGAAATAGAACAGCTACACATGGTAGCTAAATGTCTCGCCGTCTCCGTACCTGCATCACTTATAATTTGCTTCATAAAGAGCAAACTTAGCGGATTGACTCCAGGAACACTGAACTGTGAGTTGATCGATGTGCTTGTTTAGCTCCACACCCTCTTTCAGTATAACCTAACCAAGGAGATGCAATAAAACTTAAGACTTCTATCCTAGGTGATAAAAAGCCTTAGGTAAACTTAGGTAAATTTAGTAAAGTTTTAGAGGATCTTAGACTAAGTATGAGGATCTTAGACTAAGTAGCACCTCAGTTTAACGTCAGAAGTCTTCTTACACCCCGAGGCTATCTAACCTGACGTTTCGACAGAGCACTAATTTGCCAAGTTCACTGTGAATTCCTTCGTCCTGTTATAGAGTGGTTACTTCTTGACATTCATTCATGGTAAGCCATATCAATATCTCGGCTACATAGATCAAAACAACACAGCAACAAAAAAAAGCCCATGGGTCCTTTTCTCCTCCAGGCAGAAGCAACTTGTTGATAGTTTGCGAAGATCAAAGTAAGGGTGCCTGCAGGTAAATTCATCATACTTCGTTTCGGCTCAACAGTCTTCAAAGCTCTGCGCCAAGGGCAGGTACATCAATTTGTTGATTAAGGTACCTAGGTATTAGGAGCCAGCAATGAACAACGCAACTGGGCGATCAATTTATTCATTGGCCGCTCATGCTAGAAGCTGGGCTATGATCAGACAAGTTGCAACGTGTTGCTGTCACCTTGAATTGGATGAGTGACCAGTCAAAACTAGCTGTTTGCTCATAATACCTTGCGCAGCTGAGGAAAGGTCGATAATCGATATTAAGCTCTCTTCACAACATCATGGTTGGTTCAGGGTTGGCTTTGGGTTCCGATCCCCTGCATATTGCGGCTCTGATCTCGTTTAATGACAAGACAAATCTTACGAATCTTTGCTTCTGTCATTTCAGCAGGCAAGAGCCTGTCGATCATGGCCAACTCAGGACACTGCAGGAGCTCAGCCTTATTGCACGGGCATGAGTGCCTAGAGGAGGCCCTGCTCCGAATGCCTTCGATATTCGTGATGGATGAAACAATTTCATTGTGACAATACGGCCGCGGTCAGGTTTTGATACCAAGCTGGAAAGCTCGCATTTAGGGCAAGCCACAAAGGCTATTTCCTCACCTAGCACAACCCCTACAGCCCCTCCACAACACAGCATCGGACTTGGGGAATGCCCATAGATGCCAGATGCTGATTCGGAATGGCCCTTTGACGAATTGCCATCAACGAATGGGCTCTAATGACCGGGATTGTGGTACATTGCCATAACCCAAGGCCAGCCAAGGTTTTGTTATCGGCGTTCATCACAAGAACCATTCTTAACGCAAGGGTGTTGAGATCCAGCTAAGGGTTGTTGCAGTCTCAAGGGTACCTAGCAGGAAAAATTAAGGTATGCATTCATCGGCTTAACGCGACACAAAATGACGCCTTAACGGACCCTTTATTCGGGCGTCATAGCCAAGCCAGGCCAGGTCAGGCACAAGACACACACATGGCTGTGAGGAATAAGATACCCATTTGCTGGGAAATGTACGGTACCTCTTTTCTTTTGTCGCGCAAGGTACGCTAAACAGGGCTGGAAAGATGATGGCCGATCACAAGCCGGCTCAACCAGTCATGGCAGTAAACGCAACTGCTGAAGGGATGAGGTCGATGGCCAGGCACTACTCCACGCAAAAGGTCTCCCAGGAGTGGTCGCTTAGTTCGCAGCTCCGGGCGGTCGGTGCAGATTATGGACGATCACGTTCTCACTACCTGCCCAGCAGCAGTGGCGACGGCGGCGTAGCGCCAAACTGATGGGAGCGTGCCTTTAGAAAACCAGGGCTTCTAACGCTGTTCGCCGCAGGTTTGGTCGATTTAGATTTCTGGTGCGTGTGCGCTCGCATCGATCGGGTGTGTGTGGGCTCTGGATCTGGAAAGCTGTCATGAGGGAACCAACGCCGGAGAGAGGAGCTCGATCCCCCGGCCCGTCAAGAGATCCGGCAATGACGTCCGCCGGCATGGATGCAGACACAGGGTCGTCAAGAAGGAAACCTCATCGGGCGGCTCAAGCTTCATTCATCCATCCATGGTGGGCTGCTAAGCTCGGACGATGTGGTGCAGTTAACGGTTCGGTACGGCCTCGAGGAGTAAATGGTACCGCGCATCAGCCGTGTGGTGCTAGGCTCCTCAAGTAAAGATGGCGAGACGGGATAGGACGTTGGATTATCTTGATACCCTCCATTTTTCTTACCTCGCACCACCCAATGGCTGCTCAAATGGGCACTCTTTGACCGCACTGACGGATTTCCAACTGCTTCTAGCACCGAAACCTGACGAGCTTCGACTTCACTCAAGTCAAGGTCTTGTATCTGTTCCCCTCGTTTCTTGTCGGAGCCGGGCTTGGCTCCGGTCGATTTCTGTTCACATCCTGCCAGTCCCATTTTGAGAATCTTTTCTGCGCCCTTGCTCCTCTCATGCGCTCTCAAAAACTCTCTCTTAAAGATATGCCTTGTCAAATTCCAACTACAAGGCGGCCTCTCCTCTAGCTTCCTCGTTGTTATTAAAGTCCATATCCCCCTGCACACTGGACTAAGGCACATCTTGATCTGAACTTCGTCACTGCATCTCAGGAACCGTCATCACGTACCCAATTTAATCCCCAGTCTTCCCTCACCGTCGCCCACATTAGGTTCCCTTGTGTGTGTGCTCTGATTGTCCTGCCCCTCATTATTTTATTCCCATCCACGCCAGCCCAGGTAGCTCACGAAATCGTCGCGACCTTGTTCGCTTCCCGATTACAGACAGTCACCGATACCTCAACGCTCTACCAACATTTATCTCGAGGGGCATTTCACTCAATGGAGCCTACCGATTACACCTGGGAACTCAGTTTACTTTAGCTAGCTTTTTAGAGCTGCTGTTTCCCAAATACTGCTTACCCGAAGTCACATGGGGGTATACGGCCACTTCTAGTTATGGATCCAGGACTATCCTCATCCAGCAACGTCTCCCCAGGACCTGGGCCGCAAAGTAATCGAAAAGAGCGCGGTGCCATTGCAGCTCAGGTATGTCAGCCTTGATTACCGTGCCATTGAATCATGGGCCCAATGCCTTTGCCTGCCGTTCCTTTACCTCTTTCGCCCTTTCCTTTCGATGTTTCCTGTCAATATCAATCTCGGATTCCATTCGTAGCTTCCAGTTGCCTTGGATATCTGTGTTACTGCCATGCTTCCTGTTTTCTCCTCAATTCATGCTGTCAATTCGAGTGTTGCACTGCCGAATCAAGTGACTAACAAAGACCCAGGCTTGTGAGACGTGCCGCAACCGAAAACAAAGATGTGATGAACAAAGGCCAAAGTGCGGTACATGCCAGAGATTCAAGCTCGATTGTCGATACCGAGAACCCCAACCAACAAAGTATGTCACTACGGGAGCCTGATAAAGCGGCGAGGATGCAGAGCTTGACCTCAATATGGCGTTGCTGTCGTCGTTGCCTGGGCCGCTCTCTTAACACCTGCATTTGCTAAACTCCGACCACAGGAAGGATAAGACTCTGGTTGAGATTCTAGACAGACTCAAGACTGTCGAAAGTAAGCTTGACAACCTGGGTCAAAGGGAAAATACGAGTCCTCCCCTCTTCACCACTCCTCAGCCTCCAGCTGTTTATTCCACCAACACGCCGCTACTGGTGGATCCTGACTCCCACGATCCTCTTCCAGGCACGTCCTTACCCAACCATCCTACAAGTCCAACGCCCAACCGTGACACAGGCGGCTTTCGCTATGACTCGTCTGTGTCTAAGATGTCAGAATGGCCCGTTGTGCGCCAGATGTTCGAAAGCCTTGGCCAGAAGGCCCCATCCGCCCTGGGTGAGATTCCTGCACTCCCGAGAGGACTTCGTGCCTCGAACGTTACGCTGCCATCCGACGGACTCCAACCGGGAGGAATACCAAGCAACAGCACCCTGCAGATACCCCTGCATCTCTCAGGCTCTACCTCGTCCCTCAACCTCAGCCCACCAAGTGTGGACTGGGAGACCATGCAAAGACTTAGCAAGGCTTATTTCGATGTCATCAACATCCTTCATCCTATCTTGGATAGACAGTGGTTCAACTCGAACGTACTGAGTTCAATCATCAATAACGGGTTTCAAGAAGGAGCACTTTCATCCCTTGTACTACTTGTCTTTGCCCTTGGAGAGGTCGCGCTTACCACATCAGAAGTGCCAATCTCGGCTTACAAGCAGCGACCATCTGGAATCAAGGGAGGTACTATCGATCGGCCTCCTGGTCTTGTTTATTTCAATGAGGCACGGAAACGGATGGGGTTTGGTATGAGTGAAGTCAGCCTGGAAAATGCGCAGATGTTGGCACTTGCTTCGCTCTACTACTCAAGCTGCGGACAAGCTCTAGTCGGTACCTTTGCCTAGACCCTCAATGCCCTTTCTAACTGATCTGCCAGGAATGTTGGAGGATGAATGTGTATGCATCTTTGGCCTGCCAGGGTCTAATAACGAGGTGGGAGACCTAACCGTTATGAGTCAACGCAGCCTAATTCTAACATTGTATTCATAGCAAACCTGACGAGTTACACGGCCCCCGAACAGATCTGGTCAAGCGAGTCTTCTGGCACTGCTCAATCATGGAAACGTAGGTTATTGATAACAACATGAGAAGGCATATTAACAACAAGTGCAGGTGCTTCCATATGGAGTTCGGACAACCCCTGACCGGGCTAGAAAAGTTGGAGGAAACGATTGGTCTCCCTGACTTTAGTGGACCGATGACTGACGAGGACTATATCGTCAATCAGCAAACACACTTTCATGAGCATTTTGCTTCTCAAATCGTTCTCCGAAGACTCTCGGCTAATTTCCATTCTGTTCTCAACAAGAGTACGTCAAAAGAACTATGCCCTGGCAGTCTTGGCAACCGCACACTAACAATGCATTCAAGCCTTTGGTACAGATGCCTCTCTGCCCCTTGCGGGATTCGCCCCCTTCAACATCTCTTCGAGTCCCGGAACCGCCGCTGTTATGAAACAGCTCGACGCACAGCTAGACCAGTGGAGGGGCATGCTACCCAGCCATCTAAGGTGGCAGGATAACCAGGATGTGGCCTTCGCGGAGTCTTCACATAATGCCTTTGGTGACGTATATACGGAAGAAACTCTCCAGAGTAATTACATGTTTACACCGGATCTTGACACTCCACCAGCCACGTATCCGTTCGCAGCTGACATACAAACCGCACTTCTTCGGACACGATACAGCTACAACAAACACATCATACACAGACCTTGCGTTTTCAAGGCTCTTCATCACCCTGAGAGCATGACTCGAGAAGATGCTGAAGGTGCGGCCGAATGTCTCAAAGCCTCGATTAAGTGGCCCATTGCCTTATCACCCCCATGTACCAACAAACGACTTGTGCCGGTTACTTTCTTCTGGTCACAGAATCTACTGGGTGTTCTAATTCTGTTACATTTATCGCAGCAGCATCCCATGTTGAGTCGAATCCGGTCGTCGCTTTGCGGGCAACGCTTCGATGTGGAAGCCTCCCAAACTGTTACAGTATATTTAGACTGGCTACGCGACATGAAAAAGATAGAATCAACGGCGAACTGGTGCTGGAATATCGCTCGCTTGGTCTATCAATTGGAAGATTAGACGCAACAAGGCGAGGTATTGACATACCTCCCCTTATGACTACAACTATGGGAGCGGGGCTGGTGGATAGATTTTGGCAATACGGCTGCGAAACGAAGCGTAGCATGATTACTTGGACGCTAGGAGTTGAGCGAATCTCCCCATGGTCTCAGCGAATTGATTATGCAAGTCCATACAGGAAGACTATAGAGAGGCTCACGGGAATTGTGTTGATCACATTCAAGGAAGAGTTGGGAAGGATTTAGTATTTAATCGAAGCGAAGCAAACATCCACCATCGTCCTGTGTTTGATTTTAACAGCCTCGCCACATATCGCACATATGGTCTGGCTGGCTTTCTAAGACGGCCTCGTTTTCCTCATGGCGGCCTGAATCAGCTTGGGAGCCTACAACACTCAATGAGCCTCTCAACGCTGATGTCTTGCATGCTCGAGCAGCCCACTAGTGCATAGATCCGCAGCCCTGCAAACTTGGCCCCAACAAGAAGAGGGTTTCTGCTATAGATTCCATCGATCGTAGCGAACAAGGTAGGGCCCTACGTTCATTCTCATGGGTCAGAAGCCTATTACAACGATGCAAACGGCGTCAACAGGGGCCTATACCATTATGACGTAAGTTGCAAGTCATTCATTTCTTCCTGGGTAATTCCAGCTCTCGCACTACTAGCTCGGTTTTCATAACCGAACCCGAACCGGTACCGGGCTGGATCGCGTAAGACAATGGTCATGATATAGTCATGGGGAGTTGTTGACCTGTATGAAGAGGAGGGTGTATAGTCATGGGGAGGTTTCGCACTTGATCAAACATAGTCAATGACGGCTCCAATCATCGTGATTGTGTAATTCCCGAGATCTCCAAATGGGTCAAGGGTTTCTGACATCAATGATTCAAGCTCACCATCGAGTAAGTTCATTCTAGGATTAAGATATGGAAACAAAAGTTTTCGTTCATACCAACCGGTACTACTCGTACCCTCACACACAATGAAAGAGCCGACCTACCCTAGGCTGAAGAGTTAAGAGCTTAGTAATTTATTTGGCTTATAAAACCAACAATTCGACATTAGAGTTCTCCAGCTGAAAAACCACGAGATCCCTCGTGTACATAGATCGGAATCGCGGCCCGAGCCGAGCGGGAAGGGCCCGGGATTACAGCTTTCTTTTTTGGTGTCGCTCAGGGTTTTACCCTTAGAGGTTTCTTTCCCAGGACCAAAGCAGGTAGTCCATCCAACATAAAAGCAAACATGGCAGTGTCTTGAAACGCATGTCTGTCATGGCATTGTGTATTTCCCCTCCTGGCCAATGACTCGTATATGCGAGTTCTACAAAGCAGATCACAGTACAAAAAGGGAGTTCAAGGTATTCACGCCAATAAGGGTTCTCACCGGAAGTTTATGAACATCGAATCGCAAGTTCTAGGTATCACTTCCTAAAATTGTTTCGGTTAGGGATGTAGTGGTGGCGTAATTAAGATACAGAATCATGTAAATTGCCATCGCGATCTTATAATAGCTCAAAGTTTTGACATAAGGCGCTCAGTAACTCCGATATCTATCCATTTCGTCTCCGTCACACTTCGTACCTCAACCCATATCTTCCATTTCCGCGTATTGGATCGAACATCGTCCCGCGGCGGTTTACCAAAAGTATTTCCCTTTCTGCCGGGCCTTTGAATCCTGAGCAGTACTATACGACTGTTGATCAGAGCGAGGGCCTTGTCCGTTCGAGTTCGAATCACCGACATGGTCCATCTTTCTGACCATTCGCAGTGCTGGTTCAGAGATGGCTCCGAAAACGCCTTGGTGGTGTAGGATTTCAGGCGTCCAATGTGTCTTATCGCCAAATTCTAGACCCATGTTCTCTTGGAATATCTCTTCTGCTCGTATAGATGAAATACTTGCTTCGAACCACTGGCCAGGCCGGCCATTTCCAGGTGGGGTCACTGGAACTGACTGTCCCCGATAAGTTCCTTTAGGGACACCGGGAAGTTTCTCAACCGGTCGTATCATTGTGACCTTCAGACAGCTTGGCCCCTTCCCTCCATTTCGATATAGGGCTTCGTGACATATTCTGACCCTGTCGACGCTCAAATCTGAGGTGCTCTTCGGCTCGGTACTGATCACGAGCTCGCCCATCTCATTTGTTCTAGGAAATTAGTTTGGCTGCTTTGGCACCATACCAAATGAGTAGGCTAGGTGACTTACTCGATACTCATGGAGCGCACCAATGATGTAGCAAACGCTTCCACATCGGCGGCCATTCCCTCCATATACATGCGGGAGACAGAAAATTTGACATCCCATGCACGTCGAGTGCAATGCACGAAAGCCTCTGAGACTTCAGTCGTAGGGGGGAAGTATTGATGCTTGAAGGTATCGGCATCAACTTCCACGATAACCTCAGGCGTCTTCCCGGCGAAGCAGTGGAATTCGTAGTAAACTCGTTTCCCCGTCAGTAACCATGGAGATCTGCCACCAAACATTTGAGGGATCAAGCTTGCTTCTGCCCCGCTTGTTGTGAGGATAGGATAAAATCCCATACGCGGATTGTCAGTGTTTAGAGCCTCAACAGTTGTATGAACAGCCCACGATGGAGCTTGACCGTCATAGACCAAACCGGGAAATATATCTTTTCTGCACAGCCGCCCAAATTGAGCTTGGATGCTCACTCTTCCGGGGACTATTTGTAAAACTTCAACCAATTTACGGAGCTTGTTCTCAGCCTGTGACAGAAACTCGCTAAACTCCCCCTCATCCGCTGATGGCGTGCCCATTCCTGGAACAATTCGTAAGGCCGGTGTAACTGTGTCAGGCATGGGTTTCTCAACTGAAGTTGACTTGTCCTTGCCGTGCTCTTCTTTCTGCTCGGCCGGGATATGGTTGAGCTTGGCAATAACCTCGGATGTTGGCATTGCAGAACTCTGAGTTGCAGAACGATTGTCAGGGACAAATGTGACAGGCACATTCAACCCGAAATTGGGTTTGTCGTCTCGCTTCTCGTCTTTCTTCTTTGAGGCTACGTTGGCCCAGCTTAGGCCAGAAGCAGCTTTCTGTCTCATGGTATCGAACAGTCTTTTCTCTTGAGGGTTTCTCTTGCCGAATGTAACCTCAGAATTAACAACATGATCCTCTGATATTGGCTGAAGTTTGGGTCCGCGATCGTGCAAAGAGATATTATCCATGAGCGCAGGAGTTGTGATGGGGCCATCATTAATGTCCATCAAATCCTTTGTAGCATTCGGACCGGAAGGATTCACGAAGTTGAGGGGCTCGAGACTGTTTTCTGGCATATCCAAGCCCAATGGAAGTTGGCTCAAAGAAGCCTGATAATCTGATCCTGGCATCTGATCTTTGATACTGGCCTCCATAAGAGGGACGTCTTTAGTGTTGACAAACCCAAGTTCCCTTGGCTCTTCAATACCTCGTGGTAACTCTGGGAGTAAGTCGCATGGTAAGCTTGTTGCTGTTCCCTCGTCCTGCTTTCCATTGTCCCCTATCAGAAATGAGGGTGGCTTCAGATGGTCACCATCTCCGCTGGACTCGATGCTGCAGAGCCAATTAGTGATTTTCTTGTTATTTCGAGCTTGGTACCTGAGATCTTCTAAGCACTTTCGAACTTGTGGTAAGTCTGTGCCGGTATGTTTAAGATTGCGGTGACCCTCAGTGCTGGTTGTGAGCTTGCCGGCACTGCCCGATTCTTGATGATGGATCTTCTGTTGGGGCCTTTTCTTCTGCCTTTTCTTCTCGATAATAGGGATGGTACCCGAGCGTTTGTTTACATATGAGTATCCAGAGAACGGGTGGAATTCTGGATGCCAACCTGTCAATTTACCGGACTCCGGAATCGGGTACTTGACGCGATCGGGCACAGGCTGCTGGTACCGATTAAGAGATTCCATTCTCAAGGACACCGCACTAACGATCGAGGCGTACTCCAGGTCCTCGCTCCGATCGATGTCGGCGGAATCAACATAAGTCAATCCGGATAGTCCCGTATGTGTCATGTATCGGTAGCAGAGTGTAGCCGAGCTCGAAGCTTCAGTAAACACCATATGAGTGGTAGGGGCCAAGGGGGCATCCTAAGCTCAATTAGAGGAAGAACACAAATTGATCGGAAGAAATACCATGAAGTTCGCAAGAGTGTCAAGCTTTTGTTTTGCAACACCCAGTGCTTGTTCGCTTTCACTGCTGCCGATGTATAATAAGGAACCCTGAAAATTATATGTAATAACACATTTCGTGAGCGCTTGAAGGCTGTCGATGCTTGGGCCCAAAGGCGACACAGATCCCAAGGACTCGTAATTCGAGAGAATCTGCAGAATAGTGACCCCAGATGATTCTGGAACTCGCCAAACTGTTTTGTAAGATAAGGTCTTGATGATGGCGGGATATCGGAACACATCATATTGACTGAGGGTGTCTTTCAGGATTGTTTGGAGAGAAGGAAAGGCAATAATGTGTGGGTCCTCAACTAGGACCTCAATATCAGGCTGAATGGCAGATGTACTGAACTCATCTTCGTCTTCGTCTCGTATAATAGCGTCAGCTTCTGATTCCATCAGCTCCTCTAGTTGAGAGTGCATCCATTCCGAGATTTCGCGCTGAGAAGCCCTTGGGGCAATGAGCTTAAACCAAGGGATCTCAGGTTCGTAGAGGATTTCAATGATTCCCTAATGGTAAGAGCAAAAGTAAAATGTGTTAGTAGAAGCCTTGGAGAGGCCTTCAATACTTACAAGGTCACTGTTTTCCTCAACGCTCGCAAATATCAGCGCCACTCCTTTAGGGAGTAACGGAGGGTTACAAGATACGTAGAACTCTACAATATCCATGGCTGTGATATGAAGGTGCTAGACGACTCATGAGTAACCGATTTTTGTATCTGTGCTGATAGGTATACTCACATAGCAAGGTGTGGTTGAGGAATTGAGGAAGAATGCTAAACACTTCAACGTAGATAGTAACACTGACACATTAGCCAACCGGAACAGAACAGAGGGGTATTTTGGCTCAAATACGCAACCAACAGAATAGCGATAGAGCACGCTTAGAGGGGAGAAAGTTGTCGTTTTCAAAGACGCAGTGGCATGGACTGGTTTACGAAAGAAAGGCAGATAAGAATAACCATGCCTAGGTGAAAAACTGGAAGGTTAGGTAGGTAGGTGGAAGAAGGAGAAGAGAGAAACTTGGAGATCAGGGGATCTGCTCGATGTAGGTAGTAGGTACCTACCTACCTAGGTGTCTGTCTGCCTGAACAAACAGGAATAAAAGGAGGAAGCTGCCACCACTGCAGTCGCCCGCTACCTAAGCGGCAAGCAGCAGCTTCGATTGGCAAAGGCAGGTGCCAACAGTGCCACTGCCTTTCCTTTGCCTCGCCGAAGAGAACAGGGCTCCGTGATTCACTGCCATGAAATATCCCTCCCTGCCGGGTGGCGAGAGGTAGAAAGAATGACTGACGTTGCAAGCACTGCATCATGAAGGTAATGTGCCCTGCAAGTGAGAAGAATAAAGCCTGCAATTCATGAGCAGCAACAAGGAAGCTGGCTACCTATATTAGTAGGTAAGGTAGGTACCTAAGTAGGTAGGTAGATGTACACCTTAATATCTCTGAAATCTTTTTCGAGATGGCTCAAAAAGGGGTTGTCAAGCGAGGTAGTTACATATTGAAAATGAGCAAGTTAGTATGAAGTATGAGGCTTTCCAGCATATTTCTAGCTTGATGTGCCGCAAATTTCAACAAACAAAATAGTCAAGTAAGCGGGATTGTGTCATGTCTAACTATAGCAAGGTAGGCACTCTATAGAGATCCCAATTGATTTACCGGTTTGTTTTCTTTTCCCTGCCCACAGGTTGTTTCACCTGGTATGACAATGTATCTATATCCAAAATATCACTATCTCTCGATCATGAGACATCAAGCCTCAGCACAACACAAAAAGAACCCCAAACACCTATAACACCTCGGCACGTCCTTTCCCAGTGTTATGTAAGTAACCGAGACGGGTCACAAAGACAAATTGAAATCCAGCGTAAATTTCCAGGCCATGTAATGTGTCTAGAGAGCAGAAGAGCAGAGTATACAAGGAGTGGTATCGGGGTAGCGATGGTCATCAAGTATTCGTAGACGTAAAGTCAAGAAGCTGTTTAGAGCTTCGGGAAAGAAACTGGGGCCAGCGAGTCGACTTGTCGGAAAGAGGTAAATGAATCGATCAAACCGCACATGCGGGGAGATGTAGCTTGCTAGACAAGTGAGTTGCGGACACCACAACTTGTTTGATGGGTGGCAGCGCAACAAGATTAGCTATTTCATTGCGCGCCTTTGACGTTTTCTTTCACATTCAGCGCCCATCTCAGCTTGTTGAGAGTTTCCCTAGAAGCTTCTAGCAAAGCTTCTTGCTCATCTTCTCGCTTTCTGGCGTTGGTCTTGATGTCTTTGAGGCCTTGTTCTTGGCTCTGTTTGTATTCCTCAAACATACGAGCAATCTCTTCCTTTTCGTGTCGAAGTTGCTTGATGTTGCTGTCTTGCTGGTCGCACAGATCTCTTAGTGTTTGTATTTTGTCGTCGTCTGCTCGTCGCTCCTCATTGAGTTGGTCGATCTCAGATTTCATCTTGGTGACGGCTCGTTTGACTTCTTCTCCTTGATCCTGCCAGTGGGACGCGATGGCATTATAGCGACCCTCCATCAACTGCGCATAGCTAGTTGCTTCTTCGACTTGGGTCGTTGCATCTTTCCTCGTCTTATCCATCTCCTCCCTCCAGCTCTTTTCGCGTTGGAGAGCATCTATAGCCTTCTTCTTTTCTTGTTCCACGGTTGTTTGCAAGGTCTCCACCTGGCGTTCTTTTCGAGCCAGCAGTGTCTTAGTAACGTTGGCCTCAAGTAGTCGGCTCTCATAATCGTTGACCATACGCTCGAGCTTGTCCTCAACCAACCTGGCCGCTTGCTTGGCCTCGTCTGCTTTGAGGCGCTCAATCTTTATGTCGCGCTTCAGAGCTTCGTTGTCGCTGACAAGTTTGTTTATCACGCGACCGGTCTTTCCTAGACCGGCTTTGCCTATTGTCGAGTCCCATTGACTGTCTGGCGCTTCAACGTTTTCTGACATGGTGGAATTAGCTGGATCTGGAGTAGGCTCAACCACGCGCGCAGCACCAGTACTCCAGCGCGACGGTGTCGCTGTATGTGTGTCGTGTTCGGTCTTGGATTTGAGGTGAGTCTGGTTGTGGAAGTTGGAATCTGAGTTGGAGTTGGACAGGGCGCTTGTGGTACTGTTCATACTACTGGAGAAATTGCTGTATTTGCTTTCGGGGCTAGACTCGGAGCCCTCAAAGCTCCGAACGCTTCTGATTGTGCTGGACCTGGCGACGGCCGGTTTATAGGAGGCAGGGCTGCGGGCTTTCATGCTGTTGATGGCGCCGGTGGAGGCGGGAGTCAAGGTCTTTTCCTCGTCCAAAGGAGCAGCATGTGGTTCGGCCGATTTACTTGCGACTGTGGCGGCGGCTGAACAAGAATAGGCTGGTGTTAGCTAGCAGCTGTTTCATAGAAGTGGTAATGCAGTGAAGATTAGAAAATGGAATAGAAAAGTCGCTAGTGTGGAAAAGAGAACAAGGCTGACGTGAGGAGCCCAGTCACGTCAGGTCAAATCAAGCCAGACAGACCTGACGAGACGAGCAGGAGACAGGATGGGACGGGACGACAATTGTACAGTTGCGCCCCAGTTGAGGATGTGGGGAGCTGTTTCGAGTGGATAACGAGGCATTGACGACGAGTGGTAGGTAGTATATAGTTGGGTAGTTGTTGAAAAGTGCAAAGACAGCAAGCAATATGAAGATATCTAACAAGGCATGGACAGAGCCAATCTCAGCCCAAGCGTTGAACATACCGTTGACTGTGTCTTTGTGAATAGAGAAATCCTTCTTAAGAAGACGATTTCGCATTGCAACGACTGATGAATTGGCGTTAGGTCATGTGGCTAAAGTGATCCTTTGGTGTTGAAGTATTGGTTGGTTGGTCAATGTTGCAAATAAAAAGGAGTAACTTATCAGCAGCAAAGCAACAGAACAAATATAACAAGGCAGTGTGAAAGAAAGCAGAGGAGAAAATGAGGCAAGGCTCTTGCTGTAATGTTATGAACAAATGACTGCATAAGCAATGTGAACACAGACGTAAATTAACCCACACTAATAATAACGGGGGACCAGGGTCCCTTTCTTTGTGTTTGTTCTCAAGGGAAGACTTGCTGGGGGCTTCTGATCTTCATCAGTACGTACCTCTGATAGTGTTGGCTCCCGCTGGCTCCCGTCTGGTCCCCGTTTGTGCCGTTACAGTAGGCACTTACCTGCCGTTGAGATCCAATGGTTGGAGGGACGGAAAAAGTAAATATTGACATGCGCCGATCGAATTGTGAAGAAGCCTCAGTATCAATTAGTATCGTGAGAAGAGTAACTTGAACAAAACAAAAAGCGATCCATAAGGTACCCGTGAATATTTGAGAGAATACCAACGTCACGGGTCTCCAATTAAAGACCATGACTATTATAGTACGTACTAACTATACCCCAACAACCATGCTCTCCTGATGGCACAGCAACATTAACCTCTATCATAGCACAAAACACGCAATCCAGTGTTTACATTTCTTTCCCTAGCTCAACAATGGCGCCCGTGGCCGTTTCTCCAAGGGCCAAAGGTCCATCTTTAAATGCAGGGATCTCGAAGTGCATGTCCTCAAAATGATACTTCACACAAGATTACTATGTCGTGCCATAGATCAAATCAAGCCGAGTCTGGTCATCGCGACGTTTTAT